ACGGCCGGGCGAAATGCATAAAAATTTCATGTAATTTTAGGTCACAAAGATTTTTTGATCGAAATCTAAACTTCCAGGAAACTGGTTTTTTGCAACAGATACAACCACGAAGTACATAAAGCGCAAAATGACTTTAAAAATACATAAAACTGATGCTGAAACAAAAACAAAGCCACCACGAAGCTCATAGTGTAAGGTGATGCAAATCTGGTCATAAAATCCAGCAACAAACTTCTAGCTGCACGAATCGTGTAAAGGAAAAGAGCAGAATACGGATGAGATAACAAACTCAGCAAAAACCCTCCTGTCAAGACAGATCCGTGCTAATCAGAGTAAAAATTTGCAAAAATTTCCAGCCCAAAAATGCGAAATTTGTAAAAAAAAAAAAAATGAAATGAAAATCTGTAAAAAATAGGTAATATGATATGCCTCGCTTGTCTTCTGATTTCAAATAATCCAATTCGTTTCGAATACGATCCAACTCATTATCGAATTTTTTCAGCTGCTCTTGCATTTCTTCATGGAAACGCATTTCTCTTTGCTCATACTGCCTGCAAAAAAAGCAAAGAAATGTAAGTAAAAAAAAAAACACAAAAAAAATTTAATAATTAATGGTTTGTTTATAAGCAATCTTCAAAAAAAAGAACCATAGGTAGAGGCTATACCGACATTTGCTACTACTCGAGCTATTCCCGAGCCTATTCTGAGAAACAAATTTGCTTAGTTTTGACGTAAAAATTTTCCAAATCAAGAAAGTACAACCAGATGAGGAAAAGGGAAATATATAAAAGATAAAAAGCGCTACGACCCAAAAAAATAATCACAAAAAACTTGATATCATAAGCGGATTCAGGAGGGCGGAGGGGGTACCAGTGCTACAAAAGTCTGGATTTAAAGGTAAAGTTCAAGAAAACTCTCTTCCACACCTCCCGGAGCCTTCTCCCCCTCCCCCGGTGCTTCCCCTCCCCCGGGGCCCCACTTCCTCCCCCCTTCCTTCTCCTACCCCGTTGCCGCTAAAACACAAACCCCACCCCCCTCCTCCCACATACGAAGTCGCCCTGGACCAGCCTATGTTTGGTACAGATCGATTGAGCTATTAAAGATAACCGGATGGCCAATAGTAGCACCTCATAATGCGATTTTTACATGCAAGGCGAGAGAAAAAAGCAAATTTCCAACTTTCTCACAGCACAAAAATCGAAAAAAAAAAACATAAAATAAATAAAAAAAACAAAATTCAAGAGCGATACCGAATATCTCTGATATTTATACGTTCACAAAATTTCCGGAAAACTTCATCCGTTACAACATTCCGTTGGTTTTGCAGTTGTTCAATGTGCTCATTACGTTCGTCCATTCGAACCCGGACATCATTAATTCGATTCTTAAATTGAATAAAAATGAAATGTGAAAAAAAACCGAATTTACACAGATAATTCAATAAGCTTGCCAGAGGGAGTAAATTTGAAGCTGCCGATCATTTGACGGATCCAGGGGGGACCAGGAGAGGGAAAATCGCCAAAAACACCCCTCTTCTCCTCCCC